ACCTTTAATAGTGGTTAAGATTTAAAAGACAGAAAGAATGAACCCAGCTTGACTGCAGGGATACATCAACGCTGCAATAAAAGACCACAGCTGGCCTTGGTCATTTGACTCAGGCTCACGGGACTTGGGCTGCAGGGCTAAAAATTGCAATGTAAACATTCATGCTCAGGCTGGAGCCTGGGCTCCGAGACCGCACAAGGAAGGAGGGTCTCGGAACCTGAGCTTCAGCCCAAGCCCCACCCCCAGCCTGAATCTCTACACATGTGTCAGCAACTTAGGTGTTACCCTGGATTTGAGGGGTGTGTACCCCAGAATATTATCAAGCCAACTGCAACCATGTTATGTGCATTCAGCCACTATTAATTAATAAAAGAGAACACCACGAAGTTAAGGGTTATTGGAAAGCAGGCTTTTAGAGGCAAAGTCAAAACTAGCTGGCAGTTTCTGTTAATCAGAATGGGAGGAGGGGAAAGAAAAGTAAACAAATGAGACTGAAAACCTTGGTGGTTGGAAGATCTTAAGTCTGGGCCCCTCTGATATTAAAGGTTTATTGGAAGTTAGGAGAAATGATAGCTCATAGTGACCCCCTGCTGGGTTATGTGTTTTGTAAAAATTAGTTATAAAAAGACAAGATAATCGAGTAATTTGGAGCAGTCCTCTGAGGCCATCTTGAAAGACTTTTTCCTGACACCTTTTCTCCCCCCCCCAGCGGTTGAGCAACTAGTCACTGCAAACCTGCTGTTAATTACTCACTATCGTTCCAGATGCTAGACAAGTATCTGGGATGTTCTAAAACTATTGCTTAACTCTGTGTGTGCTTAAATCAAATAAACTGAAGTTTTAGATCGAGCACGCTTACTTGCAGTAATCTTTTATCAGACAAAACTGCTGTGTTCTCATTGATTTATTCCTGATACCGCCTGGAGTGAAAGAGTTAAGTTACTTGTGCTGGGGGGGTCTGAAAATCCTAGGTAACAAAGGCATCCATTTTATGAAAATATTTGCCCTTCTGTGTATGAACGTATTAATACAATTCAAACTGAAAGCTAGTTAAGAGATTTAATTTTAACATGTACAGAATGCATTAAAAAATTTACCATCACCCTTGTAGTTTAAAGGGGGGGGGGAAGGAGAGTGGCCTTTGGCAGAGGAAAAAAGAAATCTTAAGATGATTTGGGAAAAATTAAAAAAGCAGAAACACCTAATCACTGAAACAACAAAAACTGGAGAAACTGCATATAAATTACTCCCCAGTTTTCTTTTGCTCAGGAAACAAATATAGGCAAGACCTACCGCTAAGTTTCTCTCTGAATTCAAAAAGAATCCTTTGCCAGTGCACTTGCTTGGAATCCGCAATTAAGAGCGTTCACAGTCCAGGGCAACTGCCCCTGTATTCCCCTCAATAGTTCAGCAAGGGCAACAACTCTTGGCTTCCAGCTCCCCAGCTGTTGCCTCTTTTGGGTCTCTCTCCCTTCTGACCAGGATATTCCCAGGCTGAACAGTTGCCTTTCCTTTACTGTGTCATTCCCAGTCAGGTTGTCCTAGGACACCTGCTTCTTTTCTCTTCAGAGATGGGCAGCAGAGTGTTTGCTACAAATGCGAGTTACCACACAACTCTTTGTAAGCAAGCATACTTTATAAGGAACAAAGCATTACAGAGAAAACATAACAACTAAAGTACTTACACGGCATGTTAATACGTTTACTAGAGTTCATCCCAACTCTGACATGGGCTCTGGCAAGTGCAGTCTTTTAATTTCATTGGGTGACGCCAGGTTCTTGTTTTATGTGAAGGGGTAAATAACACTTCCTTATTCACTTTTTCCACACTCTGTGATTTGATAGACCTCTATCATAGCCCCCTCCCCTTACTCATCTCTTTTCCAAGACGAACAGTCATTTCCCAGTCTTTTTAATTTCTCCTAATATGGAAGCTGTTCCATATCCTTAATCATTTTTGTTGCCCTTCTCTGTACTTTTTTCCAATTCTAATATATCTTTTTTGAGATGGGGCAACCAGAACAGCAGATAGTATTCAAGGTGTGGGGGTACCATGGTTTTATATAGTGGCATTGTGATATTTACTGTCTTATCTATTCCTTTCCTTATAGTTCCTAACATGAGAAATAAGAAGCCTGAATTTATTAGTATCTTAGATCACTCAGACACACCTCTACCCCGATATAACACGAATTCGGATATAATGCGGTAAAGCAGTACTCCCGGGGGGAGGAGGGGGCTGCGCGCTCCGGCGGATCAAAGCAAGTTCAATAGAACGCAGTTTCACCTATAACGCAGTAAGATTTTTTGGCTCCCGAGAACAGCGTTATATCGGGTTAGAGGTGTACTATGGAGATGTTCATACACTACAGACAAGATCAGAGTTAAGACAGATGGATAGAGCCCTAAGCCCTCCACTCTCTCACAAGAGAGGAGCAGATCTTACAGCCCTCTTCTTTCCCATCTTCACTGCCAGTCAAAGAAAGATATAAGGGATAATTACAAACCTACATCCCATTCCTATATGCATAAGGCAGCTTGCCTAGACTAGCCAAAAATATTGTAAAAGAAAACGATATACAAAAACCCACCTTTCAATACAAATTTAAATGGCCAATTGCTGTAGTTGCTTTTTCCCCTTGGGAGAAAAAAAGTTACAAAAGTTACATTTACCACTGAAACAAACAGACTGCACCTATCTCTAGCACAGAGATGATGGAAACACCAGGCCTCGCTAAGTAAGTGACTGGGATTCACCTGCCCTGACTACACTCACATACTGAAGCCTCAGGTGAATACAATATTTAAACAAATCCAAATAAGCAACACAAAAGGGGATTGAGAAGTAGGCCCTTTCTACCCTGTACTGACCCAGAAAAAACACACACAAAACATGTGCTTTTGTACAGTGCCCAGCAGAATGGAGCCCGTATCCGGATAGGCTTTGTCTTCTCTGCTAAAAAAAGTGCATATTTCACCTCAGGGCAACTAATGTGCCTGAGCTATCCCCATGGTTAAAACACAGTGAAGACAAGACATTTTAGTTTTACCACAAGGTAAGCTTGCCAAGGTCAACCCTATACCCTTGCCTGAAGTTGGGGTTGACTAGCTGACCACATGGCGAAACTAAAGCACCTTATCGTCACTGTGTTATTACCTCAGGGATAGCATATGTATGTTAGTTACCCTGAGGTAAAACACACACCTTTCTTATCAGTGAAGACAAGGCTATAGAAGCCTCTTCTACGATACAAATCAGCTGGTCAAAATATTTAGACCAAATTTTTTTTTCCTTCAATTTCAACCAAGTTTTGGACTTTTCATTGAAAATTCTAAACTTTTTGTTTTGCTTTTCAAAAATTTGAAATAAAAATTTCAAATGGAAATGGAACATTACCATCATTTTGTTTTAGTTTTTTGTTGAAAAACAAACTTCTCATAAAAAAGTAAACATTATTAATGAAAAATTGTTTTGTTCTAAGTTTTTCACAGAAATAAAATTGGATTTTTTGACCAGCTCTATAAATAAAGAGAACCCCCCACCTGTTAGCACACTGGGACGGTGGGGGCACAGGGCATGGTGTCTTTTCACTAATATAGCATCTATACATCATCAAATAATTTTTAAAAATAAACAGAAGATGAGTCACAGTTTCAATGCAGAAATCCCCCCAAAAAATCACTCTTTCTCCATCACATTCAGGATACTTTAACCTTCTGATTTAAGTGTTTCTTGAATCTACTGTTTTATAAATTCCACGTTTAGATGTCAAGATTTCTGAAAAACCTAGCAATCCAACTTTTTGTTACCGTCACTGATTAGCCCAGCATTTTGCTTCACCAAAATGTTCTGTATTGTACATGCAGCTTCCGGCATTAGACTGAAACATTAACTTTGGTTTGTTGACATATGACAGCAATAACTGTGTAATAGATTGTTCCTGTCTGTGTAGAGAGATATTTAAATACCCTTTTTTTAAACTTTTCACCAAGATATGAAACAAGCAAGAATATTGCTTCAACTAGAATAGAAAGTTTATATTTATTTATTATATTGAATAGCAACTCTTCCAATGTGTGGGTACACATTTGCTTACTGATATTGTTCTTGGCAAAATGTTTTCAAACCTGGGTGCCTAAAGCGAGTTGAAGCTTAAGCATTTCAATGATTATTTTTGATCATTTCCATTTTGGTGGTGAATCTGTTAAAAAAAAAAAGGGGGGGGTGGGGAGAGGAGGTTGGGGACAACATTTTCTAACACAGGTGCCTAAAGTTAGGAGCCTAAATATGGAGTTAGGTGCTTAACTTTAGACACCTGCATTAGAAAATGTTGGCCTTCGTTTTTACAGATTTACCATCAAAATGAAAGTGATCAAAATAACCACCTGGATGCATGAGCTTCAAGCCTCACTCCGAGTTTCTGATGGTGAAAATACAACTTAGGGCTTGTCTATATGGCAAGCTAGCAGCAAGTCAAAGGATGAATCCACAGTGTACAAGTTTGCCTCCCATTTGAAAGGGGAGTACATCCAAGTGTACTTCGTAACTGTTACTGTGTGGTAGCAGAGTCCATACAGTGAGTTAATGTGCAGTGGTCTAGCGCGCTGTAGATTCTCACTGTGGCTTGCCATGCACCAACTTGCCACGTAGACAAGCCCTAAGATCTATGACCCTCACCACAAAGGCTAGGCAACTGCTAGTTTTAACTTTTCTCTTTAAATTATAGTTACTCACATTTAGCGACCAACATATCTTAACTACTACCAGTCATAACAAAAAGAAATCATTTATAGAAAGTTCATTTGAAGGCAGTTTGGTTCACTTATAGCCAGTAATTCTATTACAGATGTTGTTTTCAAACTATATTTTAATGGCTCCATTAAGACTATTATACAATAACCCCACGGAAAAATATTCATTTAGCCGCACAAAAGCTGCAAACTTGGTTTATAAAATTCAGTAACAAAGATGTAGAGCAAAATACTAGAGTATACGTTACCTTAGCATTCTCAAGTAGTACGTCATCTCTACCTAAACCAGGTCCTATGACAACTGAATGCAGTCGCGGCAACCACTTTTCCACTTCATGAACAGCATTAGGACTGTCACTAAGTAGAAAAAACAAGTACAAAGCATTTACTTTCAACACAATCAAATCTAAAATCTAGGGTCTCCCATGTACATCTGAGGTTAGCCAAACATTACTGCTATCATGCAGGTTTTTGCCCCTTAGTGAAATAAACAGATTTTTGTTTTGTTGAAAGTTGGTTTGTTTTTATCTTACTGGGGAGAGGAGACTTGGGAACAATTCTGGGCCTGAGCCTGAGGGCTCTCTGAGGAGTTAACACAGGCCCCAGTCTTGCAATTAGATCTGTGCAGGCAGATTCTGATCCCACAAGGAATCCTGTTCACTTGAACAGGATGCCACACAGATCCACCCTCATGGATCTACTTGCACAATCAATGCCTTAATTAGGAGTTCTAGAGAGCAGGATCTTTATGCCCAAACGCCCAGCTATTTCATTAGTTAAAAGGATTGGTGTTCTCTGTTCTATATAGAGCACAGACTCCCCTCAAATCACTACCTAAAACTGTAAATAAACCACCTTTGAAAAATAGATTTGTGGTAAATGATGCATCTATTTACTTATCCTTCACTTTTCCAAAGGTAAGGTTCACTTACTGACATTACTGTACGCCTCTACTGTAAAAAAGTCAAACAAGTGGAGTTCTACAAAATTCTGATTTGAGTTTTAAACTATGCCAGTATGAGGAACTTGGCAAACTACAGAATAAAGGTAAGTGCCATTGGAGAAATAATAGATTCCCATTAGATTAGTACACGAGGCCTTTTGTATACTAGAAAAATGCAGTTGTTTAATGAAACTGATTTAACAGTTGAGCTAGTTCAACTTGTGCAAACCCCAATACAGCTGTATCAATACATTACCAACTTAAGAAAGGGTTAAACAGGTTTAAATACAGCTAGGATTATGGGTTTGCACTGGTTTAAGTAGACTGATTTTTACATCTATTTAGTTAAAACAGTGCATCTTTCTATATTGGAAAAAGCCTTACAGATGGAAGAGACCTCTCAGACCTAATCATTCTCCCTATAGAATTGTTCCCTACGATACATGCTGTATTTCCCACAGGAATATGAAGGTTACTTACCTGTAACAGAGTTCTTTCAGAGGGACTCTGCATATTCACACTACTGGGGATGTGCCAGTGGCTACACCTCAGGAAAACCTGCTCAGAACAATGCCAAATGAAAGCATCATGTATCCCACCACCACCACTCCCCTCTGCGTTCTGGAACATTCCAAGGCTGAGGCTATGAAAGGGGGCTTCACGCCCTCTGCCACCTCTGTTCCCTCCACTTCCTCTTCAGACTCAGAGATTCTGAGAAAGAGGAGAAGGTGTGCAGGGAGTGTGACAATGCAGAGTCCATCTCAAAGAATTCTCATTACAGGTAATTAATCTTCATTCCTTCTTTTAGTATCCTCTGGATATTCCCACTCATGAGGTAGTTTGATAAGCAGCACCTCCTGTAAGGAAGGTATGATTTGGGGTCCTAACTGAATAGGGATCAAAATAACACGCTTCCAAATTGCGCATTCCATTGAGATACTAAGTCTAGGGAGTAGTGTTTTGTAAGTGTACAGAGCTCCAAGTTGCAGCTTGACAGATCTTCGCAATTTGAACATGTCTAAGGTGTGCTACGAAGGCTGCCATTGCTCTAGTAGAGTGTAATCTAACCCCCCAGGGGGATGGAATGGATACTAGTTCATAGCGCTCCTGCTTGCACTGCCTAATCCAATTAGGTAGCGTCTATGAAGAGACAGTGTGCCCCATACAGTTATCAGCATATGAAATGAAGACACTGTTAAGACACAAAGCCATTTAGCATCCAAAGTATGCAGCTCTGTCTTGTCTACATGAGTACAAGGTCTAGGAAAAAGACACTGGATAATTAATCGTTTGATTAAGGTGAAAGACACACACCACCCTGGGAAGAAAACTAGGATTAGAGCAATGCACCACTGTATCTTCTGGAAGACAGTGAATGAAGGATACACCAGGCAAGCATCTAATCCACTCATTTGTCTAGCTGATGTCACAGCTATGACAAAAGCCATTTTGATAGACAAGTAGAACAAAGAACACTCTGCCATGGCCTCAAAGGAAGTCTGAGTAAGGACTAATTGGAGATCCCAGGATGGGGACTGAAACTTTTATGCATGGATACATTCTGACAAGTCCTTTCATAAATTCCTTAAATGTATTATGTGCAAAGATTGATTTATCTACCAACACATTACGGACAGCTATAGCTGTTAGGTGAACTTTCAAAGGAGAATATAGAAAATCCCGAATGATTTAATTAAAGAATTCAAGAATAGATTCAATTGCTGCTACTGATGGATACATGTTTCTTGCTTGCCCATTTCACAAACTTATTCCACTTGAGATAACACCTTCTAGTAAACTGCTTTCTAGAGTTAATCAATGCTTGAGACACTTCTGATATGCAAGATTTCCCAAGGTACATTAGAGTCCTATAGGTTATGCAATAATAGGGGGTCAGGAGGTAACTCAACAGAAGGGCAGAATTTAATAAGTCTTTGGTCACAAGGAGAGGCCTATATACACCCTTGGAGAGCTGGAAAAGGTCTGAGAACCACTGTTGCCTTGCCCATGCTAGGGCAATCAACATTATTTTGGCTCTGTCTTGTTTTATCTTCTTTATCACCTTTGGAGGAGAGGGAAGGGGAAAAAGGTATAAGGCAGACCTTCTCCCCAGTCCAGTAGAAAGGCATCCAATACGGATAGACAGTCTCTCCCCCTTCTTGAGCAAAGCCTCTGACACTTTGCATTTTGTCTGGTTACAAATAAATGTATGTCTGAGAACCCAACAGGGTGAAAATCTCATCTATCACTGGTATTTTTAACAACCAGTCATGAAGTTGCATTACATCTCTGCTCTTTTGATCCACCAGTCTGCTGTCCTTGCTTACTAGGTGAAGAGCTATGGGATAAATAACACTGCTCTACAGCCAAAATGTTTCTGAAATAAATGTAGTCAAACTTTACTAATTCTGGGTCACTGAGA